AGTCCCGGCAGAGACGGTGATGTGGCTTTTGCGTTGATGTCGCCGCCTCTGCGACCTCGCAGCGGCAGCGTGCGAGTCAGGGCGGAACGCGTGTGGCGGCCTGCGCCCCCCGCTGCTGGGTCAGGGCGCACGAACGGCCAGACCCGCGTGTTTGTCTCTTCCTCGCCCTGGCCTCCAAGGGTGAAGTGCTTTTTCACCTAAAATCCCCGGCGAAGTTTTTCCCCCGGTGACCACGCGGACACTTTTTCCCCGTTCTGGGGGCAAGAGACCCAGTGGGCGCCCCGAGCCTAGCGCGCTGCCCTTGGAACCCCCAGCTCCCGGTGGCTCSGGGCAGCGCCCCCGGCCGGCAGAGCGGGCTGCGGGCCCGTGTGTCCCACCAGCCCACCGCCGGCAATCCGGGCCGCTTGTGCCGTGCCGTGACCCTGCTGGCAGTGAGGAATAACGAAGTGTGACCTTATTCATCCTAGTTTGTTCGCTGTTTTCTTTCACCCCACCCCTTGCATTTTTTTTTTCGCTTCCTTTTTTTTTATTTTTTCCCATGTCGCTGACGATTCCTGAGTGAGACGACAAAACTTGCAGCTCCTTAGTTCTGCAGTTCATAATCTACGCGTTTTATTAGGTTATACAACTCGAGGGAGACRGTGATATGTGAATGGTCAAATGACTTTTCCTCATAAGGCATGTTCATAAATTTTGTTTTGTTTTTTTTTTTCTCTGAAGGAGAAATATAAAGAATTTGTGATTATTCACTCTTTTCTTCTCTATTATAGTTTGGGATTATTCACTGTTGTTTTAAATAYGTCAGCTTTCAAGTGAAGAATAGCCAAGGTTGTTGTGGTTAATTCAGGCTAATCTACTGCAAAGTTAGCAATGGGGTAGATAACATGATAGAAACTTACCTGAAAGGGTTTGTGGTAGGGAAGGGACCAGTGGGTGAGTGCAGGAAGGAAAATGGTTGTGCCAAGTAGGATCTAACGCTTGTATAAAGTGATGCCAATGTCCTTWTAGATAAGTTTTGCACATGTTAATTATGGCAGTGAAAAGTTACTAGAAGACAATTTTGAAGTTGGCTAGGCTTTTCAGCCTCAGGAAAATGGGAGGGTGTTGATTCTGCTTGCTTTCATTCTTAGTTTGTTTTGTTGTGACTAAATAAATTCCAAATGCTTAGTAACAGCATTTAAAAGTTTGGGCTACTTATATGAGTTGTAATAGCGATCTTCAACTCTGAAAAGTTTGGAATGATTTGATAATTGCTTTTTAGTGTAGCTATCTATGATGCTTTAACTAGAAGCTCTTAAATAACTGTACATAGTTATAATTGCACCAGTATTTTGCTATTTTCAGTATAAACATTATTGGCTACTTAACTAGAAGGAGTTCAGGAGGTTTATGATGTTAGCAAAAACGAAGCTTTCTCATTTTATACATTTGTTCTGTTATTTATATGTTTTTCATTATAGACTTTGTAACATTCAGTCAAGACTTCAAAGTGAATATTTTAATGCTGCTAAGTTGAAATGCTGGTAATGTTAATTCTTGAGTTTCTGAAGTGATACCACTGACTTTAGACGAAAGAGGCAGCTTGGGAAGTTTTTTCTTTGTAATTCTTTCCAGTTGATTCTTTCTACTGGGCAGTAATACTTTTGAGTGAAAGTGGAACAATTCTATGTTACTTGCCAAGCTTTCACGGTTACAAAATGTTCCCCCCTCCTTTTTTTTTTTTTTTTGCCTGACCTTTCAATATATCTTTTAAATTTCATTTTCAAGCCTGGTGTTTACAATTGACAGGCCTTGTCAAAACTGATCTCCCATACAACCAGAGATTGTCATTATTCTTGATGTGGACACTCAGGGTTCTCCAGAGCTCTACAACAGAGCTTATATTGCACTCTGTGTGTGTTTCCTTATTAATAGTATGGTGCAAAAGTATAAAACCAAGCAAATTCTTATTTTGTATGGTATATCAGTAGTAAGATTGCTGATGCTATTATCTGGCATTTACAGAAAGCTTTAATATTTTTTAAACTTCAAATGTATCCTAGAAACTTATGTGACTTTTCATTAAAGTTCTCATGTGTGAAGCATTAGCAGTTGTATAAGGAAGAAGTCTTTAACAAAAAAGCTGATTTGAAACAAGGATGACTACTTCCTCTGTCGTAAAGATATATTTTAGTGCACAGTTAGGTACAGAATGTTCCTGTGTATTATCTGAAACATAAGATGCCAGGGAAGAATGAAGCTCACTAAGCTGTTGATGTTTTGGTTGGGTCTGGGGCTTATACAGAARGGCTACTGACTCAATGAAGCTGGAGCTATATTTATGTGAGTGGTGATGTAGTCTTTTCATGCAACCTGGACCTTTCTAACCCTCAAAATAGAGAAAACATGAATCTGTTTTTTGGTAAGCTACTGAATATCTGTGTCTGCTGAATACATGGCAAAACACTTTTGATATGTTTTTTCACTGTAAGTWAAAGTGGAAAAAGGCACTGAACATTTAAAAGTGCCATAATAACAATAATTTTTAAGTATTGGTAACATTGGCATTAGAGTTTTGGAATGTCATTAATAATTATTCTTCACAGTGGACAGCCAAGCTTATTCTCACTTCTGAAGTAAGACCTTCCATGTTTTCTTGCACTAAGCTTTGCTGTAGACTTACGGGAAGTCATTATTTTCTTGATTTTTAATTAGAGACTGTTACCTTACATGCCGGAAGTACAGCACTGTATWTAAAATGGCTTGTGCTAATTGGGATTGGATAAACAGTGTGTTTCTGAACACACAGAGTTGAGAATTTTATAGGCTATTAGGAAAGGAATTAAATTWTTCTTAACCTTACAAATCACAGGACTGACTTTAGAAGAATAGTTGCCATAATAAAAGTGATAGCTTTCTTAATTGAGAAGCAATTAATATAAAAATCTGAACTGAGGGTTAATTTGTTATATGGCAATGATATGTGGTTTTGTAATAGTTTGCAGTCTTCCAGTATTATTCTAAAAAAGGACTGAGTTTATACCTGTTAACATAGAGGTACTGCACAGAACTTCAAAACCAGTTATTTTGGGCTGAGCAGATTTCACCGCTGAGACAAATTAATCTCTTACAGTGAAATGCTTTGTGGGATTCTTAGTTCTTGGTTTATACTCCCTGTATTCTTCTGATTCAGCCTTGCTGAATTTCTTAAATTGCTACAACTCTTGATTTGTTTGTCTCCATCTTAGCAATAAAAATAATTTTTGGTTCACCTGCTGCTTGTGCAGTTCATTAGCACTTTCTTTTCTTTAAACCTGAGAAACTTCTTCAACTGTGTTACTGAGAACATTGTGGATGAGTTTGTGTTTGCACATGCTGCCTTCATTATTTTTCTGTGCAAACAGAAGAACCAGGGAGGTTAGGAGAGTCCAAGGTTAGCAGARTGTGTAGGAATGATCTTCGTTTTGCCATAGGTGAATCTCTTCTATAGCCCTGTTGCCTGTCATTACTCCGATACCTGTGTATACATCCGTTCTGTGTATCTTGAACATCTCATACTAACAGTTGAAGACTTAAYTCATGGTCTGAATGGTCCAGTGATATTCTGTTAGATAGTAAACTTTTATTCAGGAATGCTGGATTGTTTAAACCATTTAAAATGTATGTTACCTCAGTAAGTGATTTGCACAGACTTCATTAAAGTTTCCTGCCTAGATTTT